TCGTAGCTGCTACAGTCCTGAAAGGTCAAGGTCGTAGCTGCTACACTACTTGAAAGGCCAAGTCCACAGACTTTCGGAAGGTTCGGAAGTGGCCTTTCGCAGCTGCCTCACGTTTCAGTCAGAGGCAAGTGGGCAAGTGGTGAGCCCAGCTGCATTACGTCGGCAGTGCGACGGTATTGAGTTGGCAGTGCAAACCCATGCAGTCAGCAGTACCGGTACAGTCGGTCCCAGTCTAGTCAAGCAAGTACCATGAGGGACTGTGTGCACCATGGGCCGATGGAAAGGGGCAGACCAACGAGTTACAGAAGTATAAATCAAGAGGCAGCGCCCAGCCATTCATTCATTCCTGCGTAAGCCATGCAGAAGCGCTGCCATAGCGACTTGTGCGAGGTGGTCTGCAGTGAGCCCGAGGACGAAGTGGGCGAGAAGGAAGTTAGTCATAGCGATAGAGTAGCAGCGGCCCTAGCCGCCATAGCTGTAGGTGTGTGCGGGTGTGTGCGAGTGTACAGGGTGTTGCGTGTGGGATATCCAGGGTGATCCTGTGTGCGAACAGCAGTGCTGAGTAAGTGACGAACAGAGAGTTGTACCGGCGATGTGCCGCCATAGCTGTTTGAAGTGAACTTGTATCTGACCTGCGTTCTTGGTACTATATCTCTGAGTTCTGAGTGGGCGCTTGACGCCAGTTTGCTGCACAACCTGTTTGCATACATGTGAAGTGTCAATGAAAGCGAGTCTGATTGCAGGTGAGTGGTTTAGTCCTCCATCCCACATCTCTGCCTGCATTGTACACGGGCCTGGCCATTACATGGCCATTGTACATGCCTCTGACCACTGGGAGCTGTGGGCACCATGGTCCATGCCGTGACTGATGTCTTTGATTTCTTACAAAATGATGCTGTTTTCTTGCCACAACAAACCGTCGGCAATCTCATTTATGTCCAAGATCATTCCTCTGAAACGGTATTCACCAGTTCGCAGTAACTGATGCATATCCCAGGGCTCAATCCCTAGCTCCCCATCTTACCTGTGTAAAGTACCGGTGTCAACCCGTAGATTTGAACCTGCTACCTGTAGGACCGCCAGTGGTAGGAAGGTTTTCGTAGGTCACAGGGTAGAAGGGATTCAAACTGTAGACCTGTAGGGTAGGAGCCTAGACAGTTCAGAGGTCGTAGCTGTAAGGCTGCCTGAAGGGTCAAGGTCGTAGCTGCTACTTACCTGAAAGGGCAAAGTCGTAGCTGCTACAGTACCGAAAGGCCAAGTTAGAGGTTTCTA